TAATATATATATATAATTATATATATATTAATAGTAAAATACACCTAGACGGTGTACATGTGTGTATGTATATGTGTATATATATACTTTGATCATATATATATAATATATATATGATCTAAGTATATATAATTTTATTTTTTTACACTTTTAACTTATTTTACTTTTATTTTCAGCCAGCAGGGGGACCCCCTGTAATTACAGGCAGCCCCCCTGCTGGCAATTCAGAAGCCAGCTATACCCGGCCATGTGATTGTGGGGTCCTCGCTAGGACCCCACTCTCACACGCCGGGGGGCTTCCTGGAGGACGGTCGTGCCGCGGGGGGCTCCCTGGGAGTCCCCCCCACCGCGATCGCCGGCGTGGGACCGCCGGCGACCAGGTAAGTACAGAAAGACCGGAGGGCGTACTATTACGCCCGGCGGCGTTTAGAGCCGCCTATTAGAGGGCGTAATAGTACGCCCTCCGGTCTTAAGGGGTTAAGGACTGAGCCAAATATACACGTTGTGATCAAAACTAAAAGTAAACCAAAACTTGAATTTGCGCTATGTGTCTGTTCAGGCGTAATTCGCCTCTTTCATATTAAGTGCACCCACACTTATTATATATCATTTTATTCAGGGGAAACAGGGCTTTCATTTAACATCAACTATTTATGTATGAAATTTTAATATGAATAAAATATAAAAAAAAAATGGGAGAAAAGATTTTTTTAAACGTTTTTAGTTCTACGTGACATTTTAACTGTGAATGTCATAATACTGTTTGCTTTTACTGCAATAAAATACACATATTTGTATTCAGTGATGTCTCACATGTAAAACAGTACCCCCTATGTACAGGTTTTATGGTGTTTTGTGAAGTTACAGGGTCAAATATAGCATGTTAAATTTTTCCGTTTTTTCGCATTGAAATTTGCCAGATGGGTTACGTTGCCTTTGAGACCGTATGGTAGCCCAGGAATGAGAATTACCCCCATGATGGCATACCATTTGCAAAAGTAGACAACCCAAGGTATTGCAAATGGGGTATGTGCAGTCTTTTTTAGTAGCTACTTGGTCACAAACACTAGCCAAAGTTAGTGTTAATATTTGTGTGTGAAAAATGCAAAAAACTAATTTGAACACCAATTTTGGCCAGTGTTTGTGACTAAGTGGCTACTAAAAAAGACTGGACATACCCCATTTGCAATGCCTTGGGTTGTCTACTATTGCAAATGGTATGCCATTATGGGGGTAATTTTCATTCCTGGGCTACGGTACGGTCTCAAAGGCAACATAACCAACCTGGCGAATTTCAATGTGAAAAAACTGAAATGCAAGCCTTATATTTGACTCTGTAACTTTTGAAAACACCATAAAACCTGTACATGATGGATACTGTTATACTCAGGAAACTTCGCTGAACACAAATATTAGTGTTTCATAACTGTAAAACGTATCGCAACAATTATATCGTCGGTGTAAATGCCATTTGTGTGTGAAAAATGCAAATAAAATTCACTTTCACTGATAATATCTTTGTTGTAATACATTTTACTGTTTTGAAACACTAATATATGTGTTCAGCCTTCCGAGTAAAACAGTACCCCCCTCATGTACAGGTTTTATGGTGTCTTGGAAAGTTACAGGGCTAAGTATAATGCTAGCAACTTAAATTCCTTGGAGTTTTGGCCTGGGTTTTCAGGTAGGTCCCGCAAATTGTAATTAATAAAATTACCTAATTATGTAAAATTATTACATAACTATATACATAGACGTCCCAGGTCCCGGCACTCGATGCTCCCAGTCTTTTAATGCTCCGGTGCTGTCTCCAACCAAATTGTATGCAATACCAGTAGAGAGCACTCAGGAGTCTTGCAAAGTAAATTTTATCTGTTGCTTTAGTGAGCAATTACAAATTTACACAACATTCCAGTCGATGTTTCAGTCTGTAAAATACTTTTTTCAAGACAATTGTGTGTGTGAGATGGATACCTTATATACAAAAACTGCAGTGATCCTATTTGAAGGTGAAAGGTAACAACGGATCAGAGTGATGTAATTAATTACGTAAACATGTTTGAATTACGTAATAATTTGAAGTTAACCCTATGTGTAACCGGTATGTGAAACATACTCTTGTGTAGAGAAGTCAAAAAGTAATAAAACATAAATAACTATAAAAATAAAGTATACACAAATGTTTCAATCCTAACCAAGAAAACATAGATACATAGTACTTATCGCCATTAGCTAAATTTTAACTCAGTTATATAGCAAAATATTGTCAGTGCAATTTTGAAGCATTATACGATATGGACTACTTCCATCATGGAGTTACGGCAAATAATTGTACTATATTAACACATTCTGTAAAACCTAGCTCAATCATATATTATCTTCTAGGTAAAAAACAATTTAATGAGTTCTTCTCATTTAAACTAGATGGTGATAATGTTTCCAATGTGTATATCCAGAAAGCCTCACGTCTGAGTAACAGGTTATCACGATCTCCTCCTCAGAGTGAGATGGGTATGTGATCTATTCCCATAAAGCGAAGTGAGGACAGGCTGTGTCCCATCTCAAGGAAATGCCGGGTGACAGGAGTGCTCGCAGTACCGTTCAGTAGTGCTGAACATATAGTAGAAAACCTGTGACCCCACATGCGTTCCCTTAGGTCATTAGATGTCTTGCCCACATAAGTGAGACAATTCTATACACAACATGTGTGGTCCTGCATGTAATCCGGTGTTTAATTGTGTACATCTTTCCAGATTTTGGGTGACAGAAGATTTTATCCGGTATCATAGAATTGCACGCCAGACAGTTCAAACAGCGAAAACATCCTGCTTTTGTCACTTTCTGTAATGACTGTGTTGTGGACACTATATCTGTGTGCATCAAATAGTCTCTCAGATTTTCCCTTTTCTATAACTCATAATGGGATGTTTTTTTTAAATACAGGAGGTAGGGATGAGTCATTGTATAGAACGTGCCAATTTTTTCGAATGGTAGCTCTGAGTTTTTGGGACTTTGGATGAAATGCCTGAGGAAAAATGAATCGATCACCGATGTCTTGATGAATCCTGTTTTCTGCAATTGATTCTATTGCCTTTGTGTATGCCACATTCAAAACCGTTTTTGAATATACTCTTTGTAGGAATTTTTGGAACATGTCCTGAATCTGTATCTTCGCCCGGCTGTCATCTGAGTTATTGCGCAATACTCTTATGAATTTGGAGATAGGCATTTCGGGACTTTGAAAGCATTCGCTCAATTGTGAGACCCAGACGGTAGGGACACTGCATTCATCATACGAATGCAAACTACCAAACACCGGACCACCCTGCTACCTAATTATGTTGTAATTTACCTCCCTGATCGGCGAATACAGTCTTCATGGGAAACACACGAACGCTTTGTTTAAGTTCCTGGGTGGCCGCCATTTCGGGACTTTTACACGTGGCCGTGGCCATCTTAACTCCCGAACAGCGGTGTTTTGCCGTCGAGTGTCTGGAACTAAAATCAGACACTCGAGTAGGCGAACACTGCTGAGACCTCCATAGTACCAGAAATCCGTGCCAAAACTACCGAACGCCCTGCTGTTCGGTAGAAAGACCAAGTAGCATATGGGGATTATGGCGAACGTCAAGATACGCACGGATGGCAAGTCTTTTGGGACTTTTAACTCATGAACAAGGACCAACCGCAAGGCCAAAACTTATAGAACTATTTTCGGCTATTGTGCCTGTGCGGTCGGTCAAAACTTTAAATTGCCATATTTACTGAACCCCTGAACCGGGAGGTATGTATATATTTTGATTTTTGTGTGAAGAGAGGTTATCACACAGGTGTTTAGAGTGTGGTCGTATCCATTTGTTGTCACATACTGAGACTATGTTTTTTTGTTCATTTTGTGTAATTTATACGGTGTGTTGACCATATTATGGCATTTCTAGATAACCGTAATTATCGCACTAATAATACAGATATGTGCTTTATAGGAGGGAGACATAATATCCTGGTAAAGAACTACAGTAATACAGACAAAAGTAAATACAACCTCGAAAAGGCATTAATAAAGGAGATGAAAACTAAGTGGGAGATAGCTACCCGAAACAAGTATGTAATAGAATGGATCACACCCAGGTTTTAGGTTTTCAAAGGACCCAGCCTCTGATAAAGATGACCCCCATTTTATGACGGGATAGAACCAGATGCTAGATGGGTTTTCATTCAGCCTGATGGGTTATATTGTAGCGAGAAGGGAGGAGAGCCTCCCCAAACTAGATGAGGAGATTAAAAGATGGAAGGAAAGTCTTATTGAAACCACAAGTGCAGAGATTTAAATTAATATCGTGAAGGAGATTAAAAGTAAAGTGGATAAGATAGAAGACATGGTGTAACGAAACCGCTTGCACCCAGACCGGGTACCTTCCATTGATGGATGCTCCTAGTGCTTCCCGAGGACTCCAAGCACTCCGCCAGACACCATAACCACTGTAGACTCCCACGAACCACCGCAGCTTGGTTGGGGTCTCGCAGTCTCCACCCACTATGGACCCAAGACCAGGGTCCAGCTTCCAATAGGTCAACCTCTCTGAATTCCAGAGAGCAGGAACAGGAACAAGCTCCTAGCAGAGCTTAGTGATTATACCCTGGGGAGTATAGTGATTATAGCAATCCCAGAGTGTAGTTCTCCAATCCCCCAAACATGAGCCGAAACTTCATGAAGGTACAAGATGATCTAACTCCAATGAGCGTTTATTACTCTTTATATAAAAGCAGGTTTAGATTTATTTTTTTTAAATTATATTTTTTTTTTTTTTTTTTTTTTTCTTTTTTTTTTTTTTAAACTTTGACCCTTTTAAATTTATTTTTCTCCTTGCTGTTCTGATTCATTTTAAATCAAGAGGGTAAATATTGTTTTTGCTCACTTGTGTTTTTTGTAACTGGGGATGAGTGCTAGCAAGATTGTGAATTTAACTCAGTGCACATCATGCCGCATGTATGCATGCTTGGATGATTCTGTCGAGGGTCCATACCTCTGTGGTGGGTGTGAGCGGGTGGCATTTCTGGAAGCTCAGGTTAGAGATCTGGAGAGGCAAATTTTAACACTGAGGGAAATTGACAATCTTGAGAGGAGTCTGCTACTCACTGAGCAGAGTTTAGTGGGGACAGGTAGTGGAGAGGGAGGAGATGAGGCAGATGGGGAACAGGCACGTAGCTGGGTGACAGTGGGGCGAGGAAGTAGTGGGGGAGGGAAGAGGAAAGGTTTAGCTAGTCCTGATCTGGTGCAGCCTAACAGATTTGCCCGTTTGAGTGAAGATGTTGGTAGCATCAGCTCAGGAGTAGCTGTACTGCAGGAAGCTGTTCCTTCTAACAGTCGTGGGAACAGCCCCTCTAGTACGGGTGGGGTTGAGAGGGTAAGGAAGGCTAGACAGGTTGTGGTGGTAGGGGACTCTATTATCAAGAGAGTAGATCCGGCATGTTGCCAACAGAGTGGAGGGTCCATATTGGGACCAATGACAAAGTCAGAGGAAAATGGAAGGTCCTAAAGAATGAGTTCAGGGAACTAGGAAGTAAGCTAAAGAAAAGGACCTCCAAGGTAATATTTTCAGAAATATTGCCTGTGCCGCGCGCTACAGCAGAAAGGCAGCGGGAGATTAGAGAGGTCAATTCGTGGCTGAAGTCTTGGTGTAGGAAAGAGGGTTTGGGGTTTTTAGAGCACTGGGCCGATTTTGTGCTTGGGTACAACCTGTATAGTCCTGATGGATTGCACCTAAACGGAAGAGGGTCTACTGTGCAGGGGGATAGGATGGTTAGAAGGATGGCTAGAAGGTTGGAGGACATTTTAAACTGGTAGTAGGGGGGAGGGTCAAAGCAATCTAGAAAATGGAGATAGGATAGAAAGGAGATGGGCTTTAGTTCAGAACAAAGGGGTGGAGATGGGGGAGGGGAAAGCTCAGAACAGAGGAGGTATGTAATATTGATAATTCAAAAAAAGTACAAATGACTCATGATAATATTAAATGTATGCTTACTAATGCAAGGATAAAAATAGGAAAAATCAGCGCTTAACTGCCACAGAATGAGTGAGAAGGCAGCACACCTAAAAGGGGAATCCCCTATGATCCCCTAAATATAAGAAACAAATAGACAAAAAGAAAGGTAAGGGTGCGCCTGAATGAATAAATATAACAGATATATAAAATATAGAATAAAATAAATGAAATAAAAGTCCCGAGCACTTATCAAATGTCCGTTATAGTAGTTTCTCCTTGTAGAGATAACAAATCTTTGGGACGTCAGACGGGGTTGAGACTTCACAGTGATGTACTTGAATCCGGTGAGGTACGTATATAAAAGAAAAACAGAAAAAAGGGAAAACTCCAATGGTACAGTATATCAATCACAGTGTAAATATTGGAATAGTGTAAATAGTCCTACTCACACTTTTTGGAGCTAAAATTTAGCTCCAATATATGCGCGTGAAGTGGAATGATCCCCACTCATGGATATGTAGAGTAGTGCTTTGATTGGAGAATTCTAGGTCCGTGTTCGGTGTTCCAATCAGTTTAACCCAAAATTGAGAGAATAAAAGAATAGTGCTCTCTGTTTGTAATATAAAATGATGGTATATAGAAAATTACTTACACAGTATGGGGCAGATTTGTACTGCTCAGTGTAGGCGCTTAGGTGGTATAATCCCCACCTCTGGATTCTTTCAATTCTTTGTAGATGTAGGTCAGGTGCAGGTATTTATAAAATAAAATAAATATAAAGAAAATGGCAATAAAAATATTTTATGCCAAATAAAATTCTTTATTAGAAATAAATAAAATAAATACTAGTAATATCTAGACGCGTTTCGCCTCAAAAGGCTTCTTCAAGTAGATAGTTATAAAGGAAGGCACACCTGACACACCTGAGGGGCACCCAGTTTTAAGTCCATCCTTACAAATAATTATACAAAACAGAGCACTTTATCCCCTAGTCCCTCCACCTTTTTAACTAAACCTAATGGTTATTTTAAATGCAACAGATGCATAGTATGTAAGCGGACTAGTGATACTATTAAATCAAAAACGACATCATTCACATCAACAGTAACACACAAAGTACACCAAATAAAACATTTTATTCATTGCAACACAAAAAACGTAATTTACCTCCTAGAATGCCCTTGTGGTCTTCAGTATGTGGGCATGACCACTAGAGATCTTAAAACAAGATTGGCTGAACACTGTAGGAATATCCTTTTATATTGATACTATACCTCCTTATATTTTATAAATATACCTTTTACTCTTATTTTGCTTAAATATAAAATATACAATATTCCAATGACGTCATTCTGGCGGGAATTTCAAATTTCCATAGAAGTACTGTATGTTATATAAACCCTTGTATGTCAGGTGTGCCTTCCTTTATAACTATCTACTTGAAGAAGCCTTTTGAGGCGAAACGCGTCTAGATATTACTAGTATTTATTTTATTTATTTCTAATAAAGAATTTTATTTGGCATAAAATATTTTTATTGCCATTTTCTTTATATTTATTTTATTTTATTTTATAAATACCTGCACCTGACCTACATCTACAAAGAATTGAAAGAATCCAGAGGTGGGGATTATACCACCTAAGCGCCTACACTGAGCAGTACAAATCTGCCCCATACTGTGTAAGTAATTTTCTATATACCACCATTTTATATTACAAACAGAGAGCACTATTCTTTTATTCTCTCAATTTTGGGTTAAACTGATTGGAACACCGAACACGGACCTAGAATTCTCCAATCAAAGCACTACTCTACATATCCATGAGTGGGGATCATTCCACTTCACGCGCATATATTGGAGCTAAATTTTAGCTCCAAAAAGTGTGAGTAGGACTATTTACACTATTCCAATATTTACACTGTGATTGATATACTGTACCATTGGAGTTTTCCCTTTTTTCTGTTTTTCTTTTATATACGTACCTCACCGGATTCAAGTACATCACTGTGAAGTCTCAACCCCGTCTGACGTCCCAAAGATTTGTTATCTCTACAAGGAGAAACTACTATAACGGACATTTGATAAGTGCTCTGGACTTTTATTTCATTTATCTTATTCTATATTTTATATTTTATATATCTGTTATATTTATTCATTCAGGCGCACCCTTACCTTTCTTTCTTTTTGTCTATTTGTTTCTTACTAATGCAAGGAGCCTATATAACAAAATGGGGGAACGAGAGGCAATAGCATACACTAAACAATATGATATAATAGACATAACAGAAACATGGTGGGATGAGACACATGACTGGGCAGTTAACTTAAATGGGTACATGTTATTTAGTACAGATAGGAAAAACAAGAAGGGTGGTGGGGTATGTTTGTATGTCAACCACGAGTTAAAGTCAAATCTTAGGCATGTGGAGTGTGACAAGGAAAATGTGGAAGCTTTATGGGTAGATATCTGCTTGGGGCAAACAAAGGCAAACAATTATTGGTTGGGATATGTTATAAACCACCTAATATAAATATTAATGAAGAAGAACAGCTGTTAGAGCAAATTGGAAAAGCTGCAAATCGGGGTAACACGTTAATTATTGGAGATTTTAATTACCCAGACATAAATTGGGACAGGGGGACTAGTACTTCAGCAAGGGAAATCAGGTTTTTGAATGTGTTAAATGACACCTTTATGTCACAACTGGTACAAGCACCAACTAGAAAGGATGCTTGTCTGGATCTCGTTATAACAAACAATGTTGATCTTTTGACATTCAAGTAGGGGAGCATTTGGGAAATAGTGATCACAATATGGTAATTTTTGAAATAATCTCAAAAACGCAAAAGCACGTGGGGTATACTAAAACGTATAATTTAAAAAAAGCTAATTTCAATAAGATTAGGGCAGCTCTACAACATATCGACTGTCATAAACGCCTTAGTGATAAAAACTCTGAGGATAAATGGAAACTATTCAAACAAATATTAGAAAGGTACATTTCCCAGTAGGTACCATTAGGTAATAAATATAAAAGAAACAAATTAAAACCAATGTGGCTTGGTAGAGAAGTAAAACAAGAGATTAAAAGTAAGAAAAGGGCATTTAAAGCATTTAAATCGGACAAATCAGAGGAATCCTATTTAAGATGTAAGGAAGCCAATCATGCTTGCAAAAAGGCAATTAAAGTGTCTGAACTAGAAAATGAGAAATTGATAGCCAAAGAATGCAAAACCAACCCTAAAAAGTTTTTCAAATACATCAATACTAAAAAAACAAAAAATGAAAGTGTAGGTACACTGGAAACAGAGATTGGTCTGTTAGTTAATGAAGACCAGGAAAAGGCAGAAATTTTAAATAACTATTTTTCTTCAGTATATATTAATGAGGATCCTATGGCAAAAGATATGCAAATGATTGCTGCAAAAAAGTTGCAGATAACTTGTGATTGGATAACTCGAGACAAGGTGCTACAGCTATTAAAGAAAATTAATGTAAATAAAGCCCCGGGGCCTGACGGTATTCACCCACGAGTACTTAAGGAGCTAAGTAGGGAAATAATCGAACCTCTGTGTTTAATTTTTCAAGATTCTTTTGTTTCAGGTATTGTACCGGAGGATTGGAGGAAGGCAGATGTCATTCCTATATTTAAAAAGGGTTCAAAATCCTTGCCTGGAAATTATAGACCTGTGAGCTTAACTTCTGTGACTCGGAAAATATTTGAAGGGCTATTAAGGGATAATATTCAGGAATTCATTGGGAAGAACTTTGTTATTAGCAATAATCAGCATGGTTTTATGAAACATAGGTCATGTCAAACTAACCTAATTCCTTTCTACGAAGAAGTAAGTAGAAATATAGATCAGGGTGTTGCAGTGGAAATGATCTACTTGGATTTTGCCAAGGCATTTGATACGGTTCCTGTGACAGATCCATCTGTATAGACTAAGATTGCTGGTTCGTCTGTTTTGCCTCTTTTCGTGCAATTACCTGTCCGTATGCCCCTGTTCGTTTATTTGACTTTTTTACCAAATGAACTTACCGAACGGACGGCCACCCAGAAGAGAAGTGTGCTGCTGGTTAACCTCTTGATCCCAATTAGAACGTTGTGGTTAACCGAAGACACCTCTTAATTATAAGCGAATAGAGGGTGGTCGTCGTTCGTATGTCGGCCACGAGGCGGCGGCCATTTTAAACCATGCGAAAGACCAGCGGTGTTCGGCAC